GGCTTTCCTAGTCTTTGTCAGCAACGTCCTTCTGCCTATATCGTCAGCCACCTTGCGAATTGGCTTGAGTGTGAGCTCCAAAGGCACCAGGGCGAGACAAGTGTATCCTGTAACTGTTCGCTATACGTCTTCTGACTCTTAATAACTTCAAAGACACGTCACTTTTCACCTTCCGGTTCCTCGCGCGATAACATCATGATCCATTTTGCGGTTTCTGTTACGCGTCATCAGATTAATCGCGATCGTCAACAGTGCGTTGAAGGTCGACACAGGAGGAGGGAGCAGACTTTCATTCCAAGCCGATGTAAGTGTTATTGCTCCTTAGATCGTCGCAGTTAACATAAAATCGAAAGAAAAAGGTCGCAAGGACTCTCCTCTGAGCATTATAATTTCACCGTCGGAGTTGCGAACTAGAAGAACGTAGCGGTGTCGTTAGTATTTTGCAATTATGGTGGAAATGAGAAGGGGACAAAAAGGGCTGGGGAAATCATCCCTGCAGGAGGACGATATAAGTAGATTTAGAAATCAATGGACATGATTAGAACCGCTTCAAACTCCAGTGGGAGCTTCTTAAAGTCCAAAAGAGTGTTTAAAAGGAAACGGATTAAAGTGAAAACTTAAATTCGAATATCGCTAGGGTATAGGACAATGCAATTTTGGAATGGAAGAGTATCCTAAAGGGAAGTATATTTAAGCTCAAAAACGAGAACGATTAGACGTAAGGCGAAGACTGCGTACGAACTCTGGACGTTGTCGAGCCTATAATGGTCACAGGCGTTAGACCGAGTAGTGGACGGCAGATATGTAGAAGAATATGCAAAATCGGGGAAAGGACATTTATGCGTCTGACGTTCCGCTGAAACGGGTAATTCATGCAGAGGGACCTGCAATATTTTTAGGATAGAGTAACTGTGATACTGTAAACTTACCCAATTAATGACTCCTCCATCGATGACGATTCTCCGCGGTAATTGCCTGATTACCGGCGTGCGGGCCGTGACCTGCTGAACTTTCATTACACGTGGGGG